AAATAAATGGAAAGATATTCTGTGCTCATGGATTGGAAGAATTAATATTGTCAAAATATCCAGACTACCCAAAGCCTTCTACAGATTTAATGCAATCCCTATCAAAGTTCCAACGGTATATTTCACAGAAATAGAACAAACAATCCTAAAAAGAAGACCCTGAATAGCCTAAGCAAACTTGGGAAAGAGAAACAAAGCTGGAGGCATCACACTCCCTGATTTCAAACTATATTACAAAGCTGTAGTAATCAAAGCAGTATGATATTGGCATAAAAACAGACACATAGATCAATGGAACGGAATAGGCAGCCCAGAAATAAACCCACACATTTACGGTCAATTAATACAAGACAAAGGAGCCAAGAATACACAAGGGGGAAAGGATGTTCTCTTCAATAAACGGTGTTGGGAAAACTGGACAGGTATATGAAAAGAATGAAATAGGACCACTATCTTACACCATACACAAAAATTAACTCAACATGGATTAAAGACTTGAATGTAAGACCTGAAACCATAAAACTCCTAGAAGAAAACATAAGTGGTAAGCTCTTCAACATAGGTCTTGGCAATAATTTTTTAAATCTGACACCAAAAGCAAAAATAAACAAGTAGGGCTACATTAACTTCAAAAGCTTCTGTACAGCAAAGAAAACCATCAACAAAATGAAAAGGCAACTTACTGAATGAGAGAAAATATTTGCAAATCATATATATGATAAGGGATTAATATCCAAAATATATAAAGAACTCATGTAACTCAATAGCAAAAAACAAAACAATCTGATTAAAAACTGCACAGAAGATCTGTGCAGATCTTTCTACAGATTTTTCCAAAGATGACATACAGATGGGCAAGAGGTACATGAAAAAATACCCAACATAACTCATTATCAGGGAAATGCAAATCAAAGTCACAATGAGCTATCACCTCACACCTGTTAGAATAGCTATTATCAAAAAGACAAAAAATAACAGGGGCCGGCCTGGTAGCACAGTGGGTAAGTTCACATGTTCCACTTTGGCAGCCCGGGGTTCGCCGGGTCGGATCCTGGGTGCGGACATGGCACCTCTTGGCAAGCCATGCTGTGGTAGGCATCCCTCATAGAAAGTAGAGGAAGATGGGCATGGTTGTGAGCTCAGGGCCAGTCTTCCTCAGCAAAAGAAGGAGGATTGGCAGCAGATGTTAGCTCAGGGCTAACCTTCCTCAAAAAGAAAAAAAAAAAAGGAAATATTTATGCAATTAAGCTAAATATTCCCACGTTATCCTCTGTAGGGGCAATGATTGATTTTTGCATTCCTATCAGAATGCTAAGCAACCCTGTTTCTCTACAGTCTTATCAACAGAGTATCTTGACAAACTTTTGCATTTATGCTAATCAGATGAGAAATGGCAACTCAGAAGTTTTAATCTGAACTTCTCTTGTTATAAATGAATTTTCACTGTTCTGTATTTTAACCAAGCTAGCTTTCTTCCTCTTGACTCCTTAGAATGACCTTACCATGATCTACATGGTAAAATTTCAGGGGATCCAGAAAGGCCTCTTTGGCTAAGTTCCACTATATCCAATTCATTTTTTTTTGGAATTTAGTAGCCTGAAAGAATAAAAGGAATAGCTTAGAAAGGGAATCGGGAGTTACCACAGTTATCTTTGCTACTTTGGTTATACCTAATAACAGCAATGACTTTCACTTATTATATAATAATAATTATATTATTGTTTTTCATGTATTATCTCATTTAATTTTCCCAAGAATCCATGAAGTAGGTACTGTTATCACCTCCATTTTAGAGATGAGGAAATTGAGATTGATATGAAATAAGTTAGAAAGGCACACAGGTAGTAAATGGTGGAACCTGGATTCAAATCCAGGTCTAATTCTAAAGCCTTTGCCATTACTCTCCATGCTGTGGCAGCTAAAGACAAGCCCTGTCTCTAAGTCTGTTGAACTTGGGGGTGGAGATGGAGAGAGAAATATAAGACTAAGATGACCCTGGGGAGAAAGCCAGTTGATTCTGTGATATCCTGTTCCACGAGTCCCATCTATCTTCAGGTATTCTACAGAAAGCCTTCCATCCAGCAAAGTTTTTCAAATAAATCCTCACTGACCAAAGTAAATTTTTATGTCCCACAAAAGCTAATATTTGAAAAAGAAAATAAAAGTTACAGAAAATTTTATCAGCATCTACTAATCAAAAATAAGTATATGTTGCCGTCTTGAGGTAAATGGATTTTTGGTAAGGAAGTGTATTCAGAGATTTTAAGTGCAGGTTCTCCTTGAAAAATGTAACCTCACCTCAACTTTCAGAAAATGAATAGCTTTTCACTTTTCTTAGCCTTCCACATTAAGAAAATAAAGTGTTTCAAAGTCTCAAATAGGATGTTTGATTCCTATTTTGTTATTCTTAATTCTGGTATAGCAACATCAGAGGTCTATAGAGTTAGTCTTCCAGGAAAAGTTCATAAACTGATAATGGGACTTCTGCTTTTACCATATCCTAATGGAAAACTTTTCCTACAAACACTTATGAGAAGACATTTCCAAAAGGAGAGGAGAAAATAAAACTTCGAAACAGGAAAAAGGCAAAATGAAAAGAACCTAGAATGTGACCTGCTTATCGCTAATTATACTAATTTATTTTGGTAAACTCAATTACATGAGTGGATTCTCTGAATTGTGAATAAATATTTTATGTAAATTCATTTGTTTTACAGACATCTCAGGAAATTCCACAATATATTAATAGTTTTATTATCTCAACTCTATTATATTTTGCATATCAAGAAACCCTTTGTTTTCCTATTCTTCAGACTATTTTCCCCTACTTTACTGAAGGTTTGAGAGAATAAGAGGGATCAGTCTAACAGTCATAGATCAGAGGAATAAAATAAGAAAAATGCTAGAAAAACCAGGAAGCTTCTCAATTCTTCCAGAATAGTCTTCACAAAGCGGCATCATTATTATGCTGGAAGTGAATTCACCAATCTCACACACCTCCTAGTTTAAGTAGAAAGACATTTCAGAGTTAATTTTTTTGTTTTTAGTATCCTCATGTTTAAAAGCTGAGTTATAATAAAAAAAATTGATCACCAATTATTGACTTTAGCATAGCACTAAATTAACTTTTCTCTCTGAAGTAGACCTCATGCTCAACCTACCTCAAGCATGTGTAGTCAGATAGCCTTTATGCCTATATTTTAACTGTGTAGGCTAAATAGAGACTCTTTCCTTTCTAGCGCATAGAATTCAGACAAGGGCCACAAAATTTTAGTTAGAAATTAGTTTTTTATTTGGAAAAGATATAATAGACAAAAAACTAAAATAAAAGAAAAACAATTAGGCATAACTTGGCATATCAATATTTGTGACATTGATATATATATATATTTGTGATATATATATAACTAACATAGGAAATCACATGAAAAAAAAGCATAGTAATGGGGATGGCCTGGTGGTGTAGTGGTTAAGTTTGTGTACTCCACTTTGGTGGCCTGGGGTTCACAGGTTTGGATCCTGGGCACTGCTAGTCAAGCCATGCTGTGGTGGCCTCCCACATAAAATAGAGGAAGACTGGCACAAATGTTAGCTCAGCAGCAATCTTCCTCAGGCAAAAAAGAGGAAGATTGGGAACAGATGTTAGCTCAGGGCCAATGTTCCTCACAAAAAAAAAAAAAAGAAAGAAAGAAAAAAAAGAAATAGCACAGTAAGATGTTTGAAACCAAAGTGGGGCTTGAACAGATTTCTGATGAAATACAACTGACAGTGCCAAGGCAATGTCAGGCAATGTTCAGGGTATCACGACTACTCTCCAGTATCCCATTTGCGAAAGTCAGCAAAGTAGGCTTCAAACCATAGGTTGTTTTAGCAGGCTATTTTTTGGTAATGATCCTGCTTCCTTATGAACAACTACTTTATTCATCCAGTGTGTTGAAGTCTTCATGTTAAGAGTTAATGAATACAAGGATCAGAGAACCCCAGTGATACAGAGAATGCAACAATATAAAAATACTGATGCACACATTTTAAAGCAAGAGAACCTCAAGTCTGAAAATAAGCCAAGTGTAGTTATAGTACTGATACAAATGAATACATTCTGATGCTTAGTGTTAGTAAGTGTTAGTATACCACTCCCTTTTATATGCATAATGATCTCAGATAGGGAAAATATGCGAGCAGTTTGTAAGGTAGCCCTCTAAAGTTTGACCAAAATGTACCTTTTTCTTTCCTATACTCTATCTTTCTTCTTTGCCTACTCCTAAGGCTGCCAGTAAATACCTTCAGGAATTGCTTAGTATGTCAGGGTCCCTAAGACAACCCCTCTGCCAGGTCTAATGATTTGCTTGGAGGGTTCACAGGACTCAGCATATATTGTACTTATGGCTATGATTTATTACAGCAAAAGCATACAAAGCAAAACAGGAAAAGGAAAAGCTGCATAGGGCAAAGTCAAGGGGAAACCAGGCACAAGCTTCCAGAGTCCTCTGCTGGTGAGTCACACAGGATGTGCTTAATTCCTCCAGTAACTGAGTTGTGACATGTGTGAAACATTGTCTACTAGAAAAGCTTATTAGAGATGCAGTGCCCAGAGTTGTTATTGTGGGATAGACACATAGGTACCTTCTGCCTAACATGTACCAAAAATCTAGACTCCCAGAAGGAAAGCAGGTGTTCAGCACAAACCATACTGTACAAACACCTCAGTCACAGCAAGCAACTCTTATCAGTGAGAGAGGAGGAAACCCTCCTGAAATCTAAGTTTCCAGATGCCAGCCAAGGACCAACCCTCCATGCAGGTCTTTCAAGAGATAAGTCAGGCCTGCTATGTCCCTCTTTTCTGCACACTTAGTAACAATTCCACAGGAATAATCAATACACTTTCAGATTCAAGAAGACTCTTCTAATTTATAAACAAGCATTTTTCATAAAAAGACAATAGAATCTGCTGCCTGAGATATAGTTAATGCATTCATGTTGATAAATTGTCATAGTTAGAGTTGATCTTCATGAGTTTTATTGAAAAGTGGAATGAAAATATATGAAAAACAAAGGAAAATTCAGTTTGGTCTTAATGAACTTGGAATCTTAGTGCTTTAATATAAAGAGGGCTCTTTCAGTACTGCTGGCAACAAAGCCTATAAACACTCATGTTACGATTGGATGGAAATGGACTTCGCGTGACTACATATAATTAAGCAAAAATAAACAGCTGATAATCACTTGGCATTAACAGTTTATAACTGAATTTTAGAAGTAAAAGGTAAAGGAGGTATCATAACATCATGTTAACAAAGATAATTTTCTTCAGCTAATATTTCGGGGATACAAGAGGAAACTTCCTTTTGGTGTTCTTGCCACATGAGTATATTCTCAGCCAGTTCTTCTGTCTCAGTCACCAAAATATCCATCTTTGCTAAAGCCTTGCTCTGTAACATTTGAGAGAAGGGGAAAATAGGAAAGAAATTACATCTGTCATTAATACATCATTATTATATCACAAATGGTTATGATACCAAAAGTTAACACCTGATCTTTTCCAGTCCCTTAAGACAAAGGCTCCTTAAAATTGTGTTCTCCTACTTCTTATAGTACATGCCTTTTTCATGTAAATTCTCTTCTTTGTCTTCAGTTATCACCTCAATGCAGAAGACTCTCAATCTATGTTGTTAAATCTAATCTCCATCCTAAAATTCAGTCTCACATTTCAGTCTGCTGGAAATCCCTATCTGGATGTACATTCAGTATCTCAAACTCGATTTAACTGAAGTTCGACAATGACTGAACATTTACTATCTGTGCAAGACATATAAAAAACCAAACTTCTTAGCTTCTTTAATCTCTCGCTCCTACTCACCCTCAAGTCACCAAGGCTAGAAACTTCATTACCTTGGATGTGTCTCTTGTCCAAACAGTAGCAACATTCTAGAAATCTGACCTCCAAAATCTAAAAATCTACACAAATCTTTTATCTGAATCACAGTATTTATTCTCCAAGTCTCTCTGCCTTTGGTTCTTCTGCCTAGTCCTCTAACCCACAGGTTATCACACTTTAACGTGCATAGGAATCACCTGAAGAACTGGTCAAAACACAGATTCTGATTCTGAAGGTTTAAGGTGAATGAAGTCTGCAATTCTGCATTTCTAACAAGCTTCCAGGTGATGCTGATGCTGCTCACACTTTGAGTGGCAAGGCTCAGTCTACTCTATCTAATATTTTCTCCATGATTAAGGTATAGTTCTGATCAAGTCACTCCTCTGTGCCCTTCTCTAAAAAACAAAACAGAATGAGAACCACACAGTGGTTCTCCAGTACTCAGACGGTAATGTCTAAACTTCTTAGTCTGGTTTTCAAAAGCACTCAGTAAACTAACCCTGAGTTAATCTCTCTCTCAATACTTTTAAGCGTTAGCCAAAGTAAAGTACCACAACTCCCCCAAACTACTTGTGCTCTCTAATTTTCATATCTTTCCTCTCATTGCTGCTTTGGCTGAACTATTCTTGTCACCCATACATATCCCTGGAGCACCGAGATATATTCCTAACAGAAAAACTTAGCTTTGGCCCACACCTAACACCTTCCTCTGAGATGTTTTTCAGTTGAGCTGGGCTCCCACCTGAGAAATTGCAACCACAGACTGCTCTGAACCAGCTCTAACCCAATCACGGGAAGAGCGCCTGCACCGAGGGACTTGGAGGTGACCTGAAGTGGCCTCTGCTTCATTACTACACAAAAATCTAGCCCCCGTGTACCTTGCTAGGCACATTTGGTGCCCTGCGCAAGAGAGTCCGGAGGACAGCGCATGCACCAACTGTTCCTGGAAATCTCCGCCCCTTCCCCACTCTCCAACCCTGAGGACACCACTGACCCCTTGCCCTTTAAAAGTTCCTCATTTCCGGGGCTGGCCCCCGTGGCCGAGCGGTTAAGTTCGCGCGCTCCGCTGCAGGCGGCCCAGTGTTTCGTTTCGTTCGAATCCTGGGCGCGGACATGACACTGCTCATCAAACCACGCTGAGGCAGCGTCCCACATGCCACAACTAGAAGGACCCACAACCAAGAATATACAACTATGTACCGGGGGGCTTTGGGGAGAAAAAGGAAAAAATAAAATCTTTAAAAAAAAAAAAGTTCCCCATTTCCCTGTCTTTGGGGAGAAGGTGTGTTAGGGCACGAACTCTCCCTTCTCCACTCCTTGATCAAAGAATAAAGTTTCTGCCCTGCTATTCCAAACCCAGTCTTATTCTACTGACGCTAGCGACTTGGGGCAAGAGGACCCACTTACAGGTCACCAATCCCTTAGGGGTCTGACACATGTCCAAATTTCACTGATTCTTCAAGATTCAGCTCATTACTCTTACGAAAAATTTTATCTACATATTCCTACCCCCATCCTAGTCCAATCTCCCTGAAGTGGAAGCAATCCCTCCCTTTTCTGTGTTTAATCACAATGTCTTCTCTATAATGCTCTGCTGTACTCCTGCAAATATAATACCACAAAGTAGAAAGTATCTTACAGCTCTCTCACCAAACCTTGCGAATTTGAGGGCAGGAATTGGTCATACCTGTTTATCTTTTACGAGACCTATAGCATAACCTCTTGCACAATGAAGATAACATGTATTTATTAAATATTGGAATAAAACAATGTAAACTGACTTCTAAAGAAAAATAATATAAAAAAGGCATCTTGATTTTAAAAAATAATTCGTTCATGATTTTAGCCATCAAAAAGTTAGAGATCAAACATTTGAGACTCTAGTATAAAAGAACTAAAGACAGCTAAAAGTAATGTGAGAGGAGCTGATGAGGTACTTAAATACTATTGTTAATACTCACCATTTCCTTTAGATTTGCATCTACATGAGGGATATTTCTAAGTGTTTCAAGATGGTTTTCTAATCCCTCAATGAAAGTCACTGCCAACTCCAACAAATGTACCATATGTCTGAAAGAGGGAGAAAAAAAGTCAACTATGTTTTTTTAGTTTATTTTGTCTTCTCTTTTTTTCCCCTTTAATTAGGACTTTTAATATGAGATAGAATTATAATCAACCCAATAAGCATTCATGGAAAAATCAATGATAAAAAGGTCCTTCTCTTTCAATTTAAGCAGGAATTAACTTGTCATCCAAACAGAAAAAAAGAGATAACACTAATTATATCTGGAACCCAACCTAATGTTAGACTAACTTAAATGTTAATAATTTTCTCATATTAGTAAAGGAATTTCCCTAGATGGAACCTCATTCCATTTCGATCTATTCATTCTCAGTGAAGAGTGAAGACAATAAGGGTAAATGTACTTCATTGAAATAGCCTACACATAAAGCTACTTTGAATCTTTGTATTTGCAAAATGCTTTAAAATCATTACTCAGTTTTTCCGATATATATAATGTATAATATATACATTAATGGTACTTTACTGTACCGAATAGATACTGAATATATCCACAGAATGAGATTTGTATATCTATTATATTACTACAAGATAAAAAAATCTGACACTTAAGAGAGGGTACAATGTTATAAACAATTATGACCTCAATAAAATAATTAAAAAGAAAGAAAGAAAGAGAAGATATTGATTTGCTCAGGGTCAGCTAGTGAGGCACTGATGGAGAAACTTAGCAATCAGATGCCCAGATGCCTGCTTCTTTATTTTATTATTATTTATTATTAACAACTACTGACATCTTCAATCTGATACTTGCCAATACTCGGATGAGGAAGAGAGCAATAGAAAGCATCCCCAGTCTACGGATTGGGAAACTGAGGCAAAAACTTAAAGCATTTGCCCAAAGCTTTGAGGCATACAAAAAGCAGAGATGAGACCAGAACTCAGTTTTTCTCTCCTTCAGTTGACACTATTTTCATCTATCCCAGCTTAAACACCCCCAACAGAATTTTTATAGGCAATATTAGAATTTATAGGCAATATAGGCAATATTAACACAACAATAAATTTACTTCACAGAAAAGTCTATACGTAATAAAAATGATTTTTACCCATCTTACTATATGTTATGAACCTAATTTCTTTCCTTAAAGTCATTATTTATAATTCCCAAAACACAACAGGCAAAAGGAATGCCTTTCTCTTCACCATAGCTGTGATATTTTAAAAGCAAAGGATTTTCTTTGTGGTTTAATGTATCAGCATTAATAATAACATTAACAGATAAATCACTAATATATTGTTTAATGAATTATGGTATGAAATAACTACTAGTCTAAACAAAAACTACCCTCAGAAAACATGTATAACTGTTAATGTCTACTTTTTAGTTTAACCTGTGATAAACAGCTTCAATAGGCAAGTTTTCCTGGCACATGGGTTTCAACAGTCTCTGCCTGAGGGACCTCTTCTCTTTTAGCACCGCTTCCAAATGATTATTCATGCTTTGCAGAGTATGACACTTCTGAGCTACACAAACCAGAAACAGTAATTACAGTTAGCAAGAGCACAAGTAAGTTTTGAAATCACTAATCATTTATTCTTTGCTTTGGTTTGACACTACCAATGTCAAAAATTAATCCCACCATTTCCCTCCTAAATATCTCCCCTCTGCTACCTTTAATACCAATACCAATTTCATTTTCAACCATTTTCTTACTTTTCCTACTGACAACCAAATCCAGTGCTAAATTCAGTGTTTTTCAACTCTACTCCTAGTTCAGTTTTTATAGCCAGAGTCATATTCTTCACATAAAGTCTCTTTTTCCATCTCTGCCTCCAATATTCCATATGAATATTTAAAAACAAACATTTGCCTTATAAGCTATTTCTGATTATTTCAATATTTTCCCCAGAATTCACTTAATGGCTGCCAATTGCCTCTTCATTAACATTTTTATTTATTTATTTTTGATTTTTTAAATTTGAGTTTATAATAGTTTATATCATTGTGAAATTTCAGTTGTACATTATTTCTTGTCTGTCACCACATAAGTGCTCCCCTTCAGCCCCTGTGTCCACCCCCTACCCTGCTTCCCCTGGTAACCACTGAAATGTTTGTCCTTGTGTTGTTTATATTCCACATATGAGTGAAATCATCTGGTGTTTGTCTTTCTCAGACTGGCTTGTTTTGCTTAGCATAATTCCCTCCAGGTCCATCCATGTTGTTGCAAATGGGATGATTTTTGCCTTTTTACGGCTCAGTAGTATTCCATTGTACATATACATACCACATCTTCTTTATCTACTCATCAGTCGATGGGCGCTTGGATTGTTTCCATGTCTTGGCTATTGTGAACAGTGCTGCAATGAACATAGGGGTACATATGTTACTTTGGATTGTTGATTTCAAGTTGTTTGGGTAGATACCCAGTAGTGGGAGAGCTGGGTCATACGGTAGTTCTATTTTTAGTTTTTTGAGGAATCTCCATACTGTTTTCCATAGTGGCTGCACCAGTTCACATTCCCACCAGCAGTGTATGAAGCTTCCCTTCTCTCCACACCCTCTCCAACATTTGTTATTTTCAGTCTTAGTGATTACAGCCATTTTAACAGGTGTACGGTGATATCTTAGTGTAGTTTTGATTTGCATTTCCCTGATGATTAGTGATGTTGAACATCTTTTCATGTGTTTATTGGCCATCTGTATATCTTCTTTGGAAAAATGTCCATATCCTCTGCCCATTTTTTGATTGGGCTGTTTGTTTTTTTGTTGTTCAGTTGTGTGAGCTCCTTATACATTATGGAGTTTAACCCCTTATCAGATATGATTTACAAGTATTTTCTCCCAATTGGTGAGTTATCGTTTTGTTTTGATCCTAGTTTCTTTTGCCCTGAGAAGCTCTTTAGTCTGATGAAGTCCCACTTGTTTATTTTTTCTTTTGTTTCCCTTGTCTGAGAAGACATGGTATTTGAAAGATCCTTTTAAGATCGATGTCAAAGAGTGTACTACTATATTATCTTCCAGGAGTTTTATAATTTCAGGACTCATTTCAAGTCTTTGATCCATTTTGAGTTTATTTTTGTGTATGGCATGAGCTAATGGTCTACTTTCATTCTTTTGCATGTGGCTGTCCAGTTTTCCCAACACGATTTATGAAGAGACTGTCTCTTCTCCATTGTATGTTCTTAGCACCTTTATCAAAGATTAGCTGTCCATATATGTGCAGTTTTATTTCTGGGCTTTCAGTTCTGTTCCATTGATCTGTGTGTCTGTTTTTGTACCAGTACCACGCTGTTTTCATCACTATGGCTTTGTAGTACATTTTGAAGTCAGGGATTGTGATGCCTCCAGCTTTGTTCTTTTTCTCAGGATTGCTTTAGCAATTTGGGGTCTTTGGTTACCCCATATGAATTTCAGGATTCTTTGTTCTATTTCCATGAAGAATGTCATTGGGATTCTGATAGGGATTGCATTGAATCTGTAGATTGCTTTGGGTGGTATGGACATTTTAACTATGTTTGTTCTTCCAATCCATGTGCATGGAATTACTTTCCGTCTCTTTATGTCATTATCTATTTCTTTCAATAATGTCTAATAGTTTTCATTGTATAAGTCCTTCAACTCATTAGTTAAATTTATTCCTAGGTACTTTATTCTTTTTGTTGCGATTGTAAATAGAATTGTATTCTTGAGTTCTCCTTCTCTAAGTTGGTTATTAGAGAAATGCAACTGATTTTTTTTGAGGAAGATTAGCCCTGAGCTAACATCTGCCACCAATCCTCCTCTTTTTGCTAAGGAAGATTGGCCCTGAGTTAACATCCGTGCCCATCTTCCTCTGCTTTATATGTGGGACACCTACACAGCATGGGTTGCCAAGCTGTGCCCTGTCTGCACCCGGGATCCAAGCAGAACGTGAGAATTTAACTGCTGTGTCACCGGGCCGGCCCTGCAACTGATTTTTGTAAGTTGATTTTGTACCCTGCAACTTTACTGTGGTTGTTAATTATTTTTATTAGTTTTCCAATGGATTCTTTAGGGTTTTCTATATATAAGGTCATGTTGTCTGCAAACAGTGTGAGTTTCACTTCTTCACTCCCTATTTGGATTCCTTTTATTCTTTTCTCTTGCCTAATTGCTCTGGCCAAAACCTCCAGTACTATGTTGAGTGTTGAGTAAGAGTGATGCTAGTGGGTATCCTTGTCTTGTTCCTATTCTCAGACGGATGGCGTTCAGTTTTTTCCCCTTGAGTATGATGTTGGCTGTGGGTTTGTCATATATGGCCTTTATTATGTTGAGGTACTCTCCTTCTATACCCATTTTATTGAGAGTTTTTATCATAAATGGATGTTGGATCTTGTCGAATGCTTTCTCTGTATCTATTGAGATGATCACGTGGTTTTTGTTTCTCATTTTGTTAATGTAGTGTATCACATTGATTGATTTGCGGATGTTGGACCATCCCTGTGTCCCCGGTATAAATCCCACTTGATCGTGATACATGATCTTTTTGATGTATTGTTGTATTCGAGTTGCCAATATTTTGTTGAGGATTTTTGCATTTATGTTCATCAGCGATATTGGCCTGTAGTTTCCTTTTTTGTGTTGTCCTTGTCAGGCTTTGGTATCAGAGTGATGTTGGCCTTGTAGAATGTGTTAGGAAGTGTTTCATCTTCCCTAATTTTTTGGAATAGCTTGAGAAGGATAGGAATGAAATCCTCTCTGAAAGTTTGGTAGAATTCCCCAGGGAAGCCATCTGGTCCTGGGCTTTCATTCTTTGGGATGCTTTTGATTACTGTTTCAATCTCTTTACTTGTGATTGGTCTATTCAGATTCTCTTAAAATTTTTATTTAAAAAAAACTTTCAAACTTACAGAAAAGCATCAAGAATAGTTCATTGAACTCCCATATACATTTCACCTAGACTCAGCCACTGTTCACATTTGGCTACATTTTCTTTTTTTCCCTCTTTCTCTACATACCCATACATATATTTTTGCTGACCCATTTGAGAGTAAGTTGCAGATATCATGACCTTTATTTTCCTCCCCAAAGCCCCAGTAGTTGTATATTCTAATTTTAAGTCCTTCTAGTTCTATGTGAGCCACGGCCATAGCATGGCTACTGACAGATGAGTGGTGTGGTTCCACTCCCAGAAACTGAACCTAGGGCACTGAAGCAAAGTGTGCCAAACTTTAACCACTATGTCATCAGGGCTGGCTCTATCATGACTTTTTTCTTTTTGAGGAAGATTAGTCCTGAGCTAACTACTGCCAGTCCTCCTTTTTTTGCTGAGGAAGCCTGGCCCTGGGCTAACATCCGTGCCCATCTTCCTCTACTTTACTTGTGGGATGCCTACCACAGCATGGCATGCCAAGCAGTGCCATGTCCGCACTCGGGATCCGAACTGGCGAACCCTGGGCTGCAGAGAAGCAGAACGTGCGAACTTAACCGCTGTGCCACTGGGCTGGCCCCTATTATGACTTTTTTTTTGGGGGGGGGTGGGGGTGGAGATTAGCCCTGAGCTAACATCTGCCGCCAATCCTCCTCTTTTTGCTGAGGAAGACTGGCCCTGAGCCAACATCCGTGCCCATCTTTCTCTCCTTTATATGTGGGACACCTGACATAGCATGGCTTGACAAGTGGTGCATAGGTCCGCACCTGGGATCCAAACTGGCGAACCCTGGGCCACCAAAGCGGAACGTGGGAACTTAACTGCTGCGCCACTGGGCTGGCTCCTATCATTACCTTTTAACCCCTAAAACTTCAGCATGTATTTCCCAAGAATGGAAACATTGTCTTATATAACTACAAGTATCAAATTTAGAAAACTTAACATTGGTACAATATTATCAATATTTAATCCAGCCCATATTTAAACATCACCAAGTATCCCAATAATGTCCTTTATAGGAAAAAAAATTTTCTAATCAAGTATTCAATCCATGAGCACACTGTGCTTCAGCTGTCATCTTCCTTTAGTCTCTTCTAATCTGGAGAGTTCCTCAACCTTTCTTTGTCTTTCAAGCTCTCCTGACTTTGAAGAGCTCCTACCTTGGTCACTTTTTATGCTCTTTTCACTAGTCAAGCCAACAGGACTTCTATTTGAGCACAGAAATAGAAGACTTTGTTAGCTTTGGGGAAATCGCTGGAAAAATTATGGTATATCATAATTTTACTTACTGCTTGGTGCTTATTTCAGATAACTAAGAAAAAGTTGAAATTCCAATGATTACCCATTTAAGCAAACCACTTACCCAAAAAGGAAGGATGAACAACATCTGCTGTATCTTTTTCTAGTCTTAGGAGTTCAATTTCCAGGTTTGTCTACATTAGGAACAAAAACAACATTTAGCTCACTCAGAAAGTAGCCTGAAGCAAAGGCTTAAACTTTGATAAAACTGGATAGTCTTTAGCCCAGGAATATTTAAGGGGAGTGGGAAGATGATTTGTTATGAGAGCTGAGGGGATTTAGAAGGCTTTTCATTTGGTGTTCAAGCCCTGTTGCTGCTACTGCTACACTACTAACTACTACTATTACTATTACTACTACTATTAACCAGTACAAGTAAACACCTATCCAGCCATGTGCTAGACACTGTTCTAAGTGCAAGAAAATTGCTGTTGGAACCAATTAAGATTTTTTTCCCTGTACTAGAAGTAGAAAGTAAAAAGTCCACATAACTTACCTGGTAGATTTCAGCTTGAATATTTGTGATCTGCTGTAGTCTGGAGAAGTTCACAAAGCAAGAAGCTGATTTCTTAGATATATTTAACATCTCCTATAGGTAAATGAACAGAGAAAGCAGTATCACGTCACAAAAAGTTTCTGTGTGCATTGGAACAGTATGCTCATGGGTCTAAAATACGAGGATATATTATGTCTACCACGTCCCCTGAAAAATGAAGTACAGAGTAGAACAGTAGCAACGTGTATTTCCTGTTTAAAAGTTTAAAAGTTCCACTATCACAGATCTTTTGTGCAAATATTTAAAAAATAAGAAAAACAAACAAGACTTAATCACTGTGTATTATTTCCTAAAGTACCATGCACAATAGATTTGCATTACCGGTAGCTTACCAGAGGATTTTAAGGCTGAGGTTATTGGAGAATCACCTCTACACAAACGACCAGAACCTAGTCTTTCTGGCCTTCCTGGGGCTAAAACCGAACATCGCCCCTACCCCTACTCCCCCGGCCCACCCCATGGAATCATTTATCTGATTCATTAAATGACCTCTCTTGGCTACAAGTCATTCATACTATCCCCTTTCACATTCTCACTGTTAGATAAAGGAATGTTTTGTCCAGGCATAATTATTCTTCTAAAAATTGCAGGTTATCTCAGAATAAGAATATTATCTTGGCTTCATCCATAATTTTCTGCATCCTCTTCTCTTCTAGAATGTTAACACAGGAAAGAACTTTAGAGATCACAAAGACCAGGGATTGGGAGACTATAACCCATGAACTAAATGCAGCCCAGTGCCTGTTTTTGTACAGCCCGTGAGCTAAGAATGGTTTTCCTATTTTTAAATTGTTGGGGGAAAAAAGAAAAAGAAAAGTAGTACTTTGTGGCAGATGAAAATTATATAAAATTCAAATTTCAGGGTCCAGAAACAAAGTTTTATTGGAACTCAACTTCTCTTACTCATTTACTTATTAACTCTGGCTGCTTTCTACAACAAACTAGTTGCAATCATATGCACTGAAAAGCCTCAAATACTTACTTTCTGCCCCTTCAAAGCAAAAGTTTGCTGCCTAACGATAAGAAATTTTACAAACGTTTATTGAGTTAGGCAATGGAAGATTCAAGGATGAATGGAACAAGCTCTCTGCCCCTAACAAGCTCATGATGGATGGTAAGGAAAAGATGTTTTAGATAGAAAGAACTAAACATTATAAATGCTCAAAAACTGTAAGTTAGTGCTAACACATAGGTCAGAAGAAGGGAAAAATGAATCTGGAAATGTGGTTTCCTACCTAATTGTAGAAGACCTTAACAGCTATGACAAGCAATCATAATGCACAAAAGAGAGCAATTGAAAATTTTCTAGTGAAGAGGCAACATGATCATATATAATACATACTTTAGAAATTTAAATGGGGGTAGTATGGAAAATAAAACTCAGAATATTATCTTGGCTTCATCCATAATTTTCTGCATCCTCTTCTTCTTTTCTAGAATGCTAACACAGGAAAGAATTTTAAAGATCATATAGGCCAGGGATTGGGAAACTATAACCCATGAACTAAATGCAGCTAATGGGGCTGGGGGGAGGAAGGAATAACTGCTTAATGAATATGGGGTTTCCATTGGGGATGATAAAAAAAACAAAAGTTTGAAAACAGTTTCACAACATTGTGACTGTACTTCATGCCACTCAATTGTACACTTTAAAATGGTTAAAATGATAAACTTTATGTTATGTGTATTTTACCACCATAAAACACACACACACACACACACACTCTGGTAATTAGACAATAACATAAAACAAAGTGAGAACCTGAGAATGTGGTCTAGGTCAGTAGCAATTAAAAAGGAAAGGAAGGGGCCGGCACCGTGATGGAGTGGTTAAGTTCACGTGATCCGCTGCTGCCGCAGCCCAGGGTTTCACTGGTTCGAATCCTGGGCACCTACATGGCACCGCTCACCAGGCAACGCTGAGGCGGCATCCCACATGCCACAACTAGAAGGACTCACAACTAAAAATATACAAACTATGTACCAGGGGGTTTTGGGGAGGAAAAGGAAAAATAAAATCTTTAACAAAAAAAAAAAAAAGAAAGGAAGGCAGAGATATGAGTCTCTGGGAAGACGGAATCGATAAGTCCTAGTTGATAGAGCCAGTGAGATAAAAAGTCAAGTCAATACTGACTCCAAAGGATCCTGCTTCAGGTGACTGGACAGATAGTTATGCCATCTGGTGAGACAGATAACACAAGATATTTTACCGAAGGCAAAATTGAGCATTGGGCAGGTTAAGTATTAGTTCAACTTCCCACTGCCAATGTGTATCAGGGCTGAAATGAGAAGACATCTAATCCACTGTATTTCCATCATATCAGCCTGACTCTTTTACTTTTCCTTCTGCTCTCTCTTAGTTAGAAGGTGAATGAAAGTAAAACATTTCCCACTTCTCATTGTAACCTACTCACTCTGCTATCTCCCCATCCCTCCATGTGTGTACACTAATCTTAGCTACATATTTGCAAACTAGTAAACCTTTGGGTTCAACAACAGAGTAATGGAGCTTAGCCAAGAACATGCAAGAGAAACCCGAGGGAAAATAAGAATGTTCAAGAAAGAGAGAGCCAAAAAGGAGAGAGGAAAAAAGAGCAGCCAAATTCTTCTAGTAAATAGAAATTCTATTTGTGGATTGTGACTTAGCCCTAAACCTTTAAAAAGAAAAAAAAAAGCAAGGATTGGGGAATACAGAAAAGTCTTTACCGTTGACTATTGCCATTATATATTTTACATGTCACTGGGGCAAAGGGACCCTGAAAATGAAAGGATCCTGAGAAAAGGTTCTGTTTACTCTTTTGCTAGCCAAATGAAGCTAAAATCCAGGATCTTTGTGCTTAATATAAAAATCCTAATAACATCGTGTGCTTAATATATATTTGTATAAACTTGTATCTGTGGGCATCCTTTCTTTTTTCTGTCCTTTCTTCTTCATACTGAATTCTACCTGAGGGACAGTAAAAGGGAGGCAGTATAGCAGAGAAATTAAGAGCAGAGGCTCTAAAATATGGGATGGGGTGCAGAGGAGGGCAGGGCACAGATTGAGAAAATAGATTTTATACATATATGTGTGTATGTATACACTATGTATATATATACACGTAATTATATATATATTAGAAAATAGTACATAGTACTATTTTAATAGTAAATAGTACAAATCCCCCCAGTACACAGTTGTATATTTTAGTTATGGGTCCTTCCAGTTGTGGCATGTGGGATGCAGCCTCAGCGTCGCCTGACAAGTGGTGTCATGTCCGCGTCCAGGATTAGAACCAGAGGAACCCTGAGCCGCCAAATTGGAGCATGCAAACTTAACCTGTTGGCCATGAGGCCGGCTCCTTGAGCATCATTCTTAATTTTTAATGCACATGGGATGATGTGCAGTTAAGGGATGGACTGTTTAAAGGATCATATGATACATCCTTTTGAAAGAATCAACGCTAAATTCTTCTAATAAAAATAGGTTTTCATATGCATAGTTCGCTTAAAGTAAAATCCTGCTACAAATCTGTTAAGTTTCCTCTTTGAGACTAGCTTTGCAGTAATACTGTAAGACAGTCTTAAGAAGCTATGGATTGGCAGATTTTACCTGAAGGCAAGACAGGTAACTGTCTAATTAGTGTTACTTCAAGGACACTAGGAAGATCCTCCCGAAAACAATCACCACCCCACCAAACAGCTCACCCATCAATGCGTAAATGCCCTCACCAGAGATTTACTCCTTTGGTTTAGGTGTTCATATTTCCTACCAACACTCTCTAGAGGAGTAAGTCCCAAATGTCCTATAGTCTGGGCTTATCAAATTACTTTGTTACAGAACTGGACAGTACAAGTGAGTACTGGGCAACTTGGGAGGAAGAAAACACAGGAGAGAAGTGAGGAAGGTGAAAACTGAGGAGTGCTGTGGTTATGTTTTGCTTACTTTCCAATGCATTCATTACTACCCCTCATTTTCCCCCAAATCCCTAAGATTTGGTAACTAGGTCTTCAAGTAATCTAGGAGAGTTCTTTAACAGAAATTTACACTCTTTCAAGATAGTGTCAGAGTATCATCTATCACAATTCCTCCTAGAGATGATACAGTCTGTCAGAAAAAGGAGAGCCCTGGGACCTAATTCTATTTCACTAAGTTGAGTGACCTTGGGCAAGTTTCTTCATCTTCTAAGGCCTTAGTTTCTTCACTTGAAAAATAATGTAAGGTGGCAGCATTCTCTAACGACTCTTCTAAGTATAAAAAGTTATTTTCCACAAATCGGCCATCGTGTTCGTACTGCTAATCTCTGCAGATGAGTTTACCTTTCTACTTTCCTGCGTTTTTAGTGAACTTCCTCAACTTCCTCTTTACCTCGGAATTTCTTTCCCTTAATCGCGCTTTCCCCATTCCCTTGTCACTTCTGCCACTTGTATTCCATTCTCTCACATCTTCAATTTCTCCCTCTATTGGCTCCTTCCCTTTGGCTACGAACACGCTTTTCTTGCCCAACCTAAAACTACCACCCCTTAGGCTAATCTCCCTCTTCTCTCCTTCTCAAAATTAGTCCCTTCCTCCACTCACGTTCCAAGGTCTTTCGACTCTTTTTCGCCAAAACCTTTTTTTTTTCCTTTACACATGCGTGCTTCCTCTGGCGCTCTCCTGTACCCTGCGCCTCTCGCCCCAAATATGCTTCAATACCTCACACAAACGAAGGCTGGGAACGAATGTTTTAACTATCTACCCTATTTCCCAACCCATTACAATCTAGAGGCGATTTCATTGGATGAAAAAAAGCTGGAGAACACTGTTTTTATTATCTCCCGCGAGCTGACCTGGGATAACTCGCCTGCAGATACTTGAAAAGCCTTCTACTCGAGACAGCATCTACTCAGAGCCCCGCTTTCGCAGAACCCACTGCAGAATGGTCACTGCTGTTGTGTGGAAGGGGCTCCATCAGCCTCTACTCTAGCACAGCCCCCAGCCAGCACCCTCACATCAAACTCCTGCGGCCGGCATTGCCACCTCACAGCCAGAGTCTGTCGCCACCGTGGCATCCCCTTAATGATGCCATTGCCGCCCACGCACCTGAGTGACCATCCCTGAAGCCACGAAATGGTCCAGCAGTAGCCCGGCAGCGTTTGGCGCGGAGGCCGGGTCCCAGGGGTTCCCCGCAGCCATGGCTGGGACCCAACTCTCCCCGCCGCGCGCGGAGTGAGCGGACCGCAAAGCAAACGCGCCGCGCGGCTCGATGACGTCATTGGGCGTTACCTCCCGGGCGGAAGCCCGCGGAGCGCATCACGGGCCAGCGCGGGTCCCGGGTCTTCGGCTGTGAGCAGAGGGGTAGGAGGCAAGTCTGGGGCTCCCTGATCCTCTGTAGGCTCCTAGCGGCGTCTGGCCTCGGAACAGCTGCAAAAGCGGTGGAGCCTGGCGGTTGGACTGTTTTTCCCTTTCTTCCTTGCCACTCTTGGGCTGGCCCCCGAGATCCAGTGACAGCTGGGGTGTGAGACCAGGAGGCCAGCGGGGTGGCCGGGCGGTGACAACTGCGCTTCCTTCCCGCAGGAACCTGAGTCGTGGCGCTAGGATGGGAAACAGTGCCCTCCGCGCTCATGTGGAAACCGCGCAGAAAACGGGTGTCTTTCAGCTTAAGGACCGTGGGCTGACCGAGGTGAGACTGGGAGGGACCAGGGAGAGGGACAGCGGGGGCGGTGAAAATAATCGGTGAAGGATTCTCCGCGTTGTGAACTCCTTTCTCCAGTTCCCCTCAGAGTTGCAGAAGCTGACGAGCAATCTCAGGACCATCGACTTGTCCAACAACAAGATCGAGAGCCTACCGCCTATGATAATGGGGAAGTTCACTCTGCTGAAGAGCCTCTCCTTGAACAACAACAAACTGGGTATGGCTTTTGCGCCTAGGAAGCTTTTGCTAGTGATCAGCTGTTAAGAAGGGTGGTTTTCTTTTACAAGCTGATTTTTTTTGTTGTTATGAAACTGTTCAGAGAGCTCAGGACACAGGGAGAATGTCAGAGTCCTTGAAGCTTTCTTGTAATTATATCTATAAGCCTCCTTTGGTGGTATAATGATTGGTACGGGGTTAATTTGGACTTAAAAAGGAAGGCACCATCTTTGGGATGTTATGTAAACAGAGCTAATTTTGCTGCTAATTTGGAAGGGGGGCGGGAATGGGGAGGGGAGGGCCTTCCAAATCCCACAAACTTGCTGTTGGATTGTTTAGAGGCCCCTTTACAAAAGGTGCTCATTATACACAAAATCCTTTCCTGCATTTTGATGGCACCCACACCTTCTGAAGACTATGTTAGTAAAAATGCAGTACTTAAATATGGCACAACGTGGGAATTCTATGTATATTAACAAGAGGTCTAGCAGGCTGCCATATAGTTTTTATAAACTTCATCAAAGGAGTTTTTCAGCTGTATCAGATTCAGGTTTAAAATTCTTTTCTTTGCCAGCTGTTCTTCCTGATGAGTTATGCAATCTGAAAAAACTGGAGATGCTAAGCCTAAACAACAATCACTTGAGAGAGCTGCCATCTACCTTTGGGCAACTGTCTGCCCTCAAGACTCTGAGCCTCTCTGGGAACCAGCTACAAGCACTACCACCCCAACTTTGTAGCCTACGGCACCTGGATGTGGTGGATCTCTCCAAGAACCAGATTCGATGCATACCTGACATAGTGGGGGATCTGCAGGTCATCGAACTCAACCTCAATCAGAACCAGGTCTAGAGCTTAAGGATTTTTTCTTCAGCATGTATGTGGGTTTATGGTCTCCTGAGTAACCTGTTGTTCTCTAAACTGTAATCATGGAGCTGGGTATCAGAGGCTAGGGGAGAGCTTTGTTCTATGTAGTAGACTAATTTCAAACCCCAAAGTGCTATGGAGTTAGTTGAGACAGTGGGTGTGTTTGTTGTGTAGGTGTGTTTTGGAGGGTGGGGTGGGTAACAGGGTGAAGTAATTTCAGAAGTTAAACTACTCTCATAAATCTTGAAGAGTTCTTCAGATCCTCCTCAAATATGCCTCTAATCATCTTGCAAGGAGCTATGTCAGGGAGAGAAAGTGGAAAAGAGGCTTAAACTCATAGATATGAATGTAGATTTTGCGGTCTTACAGTGATAGGTTTAAGGATGGATGAGCTTTCTAGGAGAAAGTTTAGGAAAAAGATGAAATATTAAGTATTAGAAACTGCTGCTTGAAAAATGTCCATAGGAACAAGAAAGGAAGCCAAAAATCAAGAATAAGTCAAAAGATAGGAAGAAAAACCTAGTATTTAGATACAAAAGGGAGTTTCAAGGAAGGGATAACTAGTACAGTCAAATGTAACAGGGAATGAGGACAATGAATCCTTGACTTCGGCAGTAAAGTGGCCAGCATCTATGTACGCATAGAAGATTAGTAATAAATATACCAAAATGTTTATGGGGGCAGGTTACAGGTAACTTTTTTCTTTGAAATTGTGTGATCCTCAAATTTCCTATAATGAACAGTGCTATTATTATTAGAAAATTTTGTTCCCAAAAAAGCCGCTGGTGACTTTCAAAAAGCAATTTTCTCCCCCAAAAAGTGGAGGAGTAGTAACAGAAGCTAGATCACAGAGGCTTCTGCAATGAGTAGGTAGTGAGAAAATGGAGGCGGTGAAAGCAGAACTAGGACAAATAGTCAAGTAAAAGTTTTTTGTTTTAATCTAGTAAAAAATAACCATTATTGTGCTTATACTTTTTCCTGTTATTCTTTTTTGTTCGTGTTCAATAGATATCTCAGATCTCAGTAAAGATATCTTGCTGTCCTCGCCTTAAAGTTCTTCGCCTAGAAGAGAACTGCCTTGAGCTCAGCATGCTTCCACAGAGCATCCTCAGTGATTCCCAGATCTGTCTTCTTGCTGTGGAAGGCAACCTTTTTGAAATAAAGAAACTTCGAGAACTAGAAGGCTATGATAAGGTATGTGTTAGTGTACTTCTGCACTTCTAGTCACTGTTCCAGAGAAGACAACAGTGAAGTAACCCACATGAATGTTAACTATAGGATGTATGTATAATCCTGTTTGTCGACAAGATTTATTCCTCATTTTGGAGGTGGGTTCTAAGAATCAGCCAAGAGAATTGTGCCAAGATGACTTTTTCTCTAGTCAGTGTATTGTAAAGCATCTTTGTCTTTTGATAGGTTTCCTATTAAAATATAAAAGAAAAAATTTTAAAACTCCAAAACTATGTGCTTTAAATCTGCATTTAGAATAGGTAGATTTTGTAGTAAATGAGGGACCATATCCAATAAAAACCTAAATGAAAAAAAATAAAAAGCTAAGTAACAAATAGGCTAATATTTGTTCATGCCAAAATACCTCATATATATTCTTCTTTCATGACTTTTAGTACATGGAGAGGTTCACGGCCACCAAGAAGAAGTTTGCATGATGTTCTCCAGGAGCATGGGAACCTTACAGGACACTGACTTGGAGCCTGTTGCAATCTGGCTGAAGCAAAGGCTCCTGTTCTTGTCAAGGATATATGCATTAAGGAGATGATACTCCAGATTATATTTCACTCTACTTTTTTCCTTTCTAGGGCTCATCTCAAATAAGCTAAAAGGAATCGACAGGAAGAGTCCTCCATTTTGAGTCATGGATAGGGCAATGAACAATGCTGATATTCAAAACTATCATTAATTTGGCTTTAAGAAACCAGTAGCTAGTTACTATTTATACAGTGAGGGGATGCTGCCTGGTAATAATAGAATAGCTGCACACCACAGCTTGAAATTTCATGTCTAGTTTCAATGTGTGAGCTTTCATAAAGTCAGTTGCCATTCCACGTCTGTGTAAACACTTCATATTTTTATGAAATTCAAATAATTTGTGAGAGGCTGCTATGGTTAACTTAAGGATTTAGGATTTTATTCCAGTCCATCAGTTCAACTGCAGTGTTTATACTTGGAATTTAGGATGTACATAAATATGTGACTGTCTTGATTAAAAGTGTACTTTGTCAAGAGAAGCACCAACACAACACTAAGATGTTCCCCAAGGCTGCAGTAGCAAATTCTTTACTACTGCAGGTGCCTTATTGGTAGAGGGCTCTGAACTAAAACTGTATATGCAAAACTTGTAAGATACAAGGGGTTTTAATAATCAAGATTTTTCCTGAAGCTTTGTTAGAAATAATGTCTTATTTCTGGTAATCCTTTTCCCTTTTTGTATTTATAAACTCTACTAATCAAATTACCTATCAAAAAACTACTGCTACAATATTTTAAAACCACCTGTATTTATCAAGTTTATTCTCTGAATGAGAGACTATACTAAATAAAGAATTTTTAATGAATTTTGGCTGAAAGAAAGGTTAATCTTTTAAAGGAAGAAGACAGGAGAACTTTAACCTATAAAGGGCCCTTTGTTTGAAAGTAAACTGATTAGGAAGAAATGTGTCATATTCTTCAGGTTGCATGAGTACTGCAATGCATTCATGTGACTGATAAACATTTTGTGGTACTGGAACCTTGCTTACTAAGAGAAACTGAAGGTACAAACATAGATGATTTCAGATTGTTACTCGGTCATTTAGAAGCTACCACTCTGTCATTTTCTGAAGCTTTGTCTTAGCCAAGGAGCTATTATTTACCATGTATTGACAGTTCTTATTTTACAAAACCTAGTTTAACCTTTAAGAGATCACAAGAGCCTAGTGTTTAATCTATATGAGGAAATCTCTCTGACCTTAAATCTGGTATAGGTATTCTTTTCCCATGTTATATTCAGTGTCTCAATTTGGGGAGGGGTAGAGGTGAGAGTTTATCAGTATCAATTGAGTTTTGATTTTTATAAACTTTCTTTAATGCTTAATCTTATTGATCTACTGAACAATTAACATTTCTCTAAATATTTTATCAGTACTTACCATCTAATAAATCAGAACTTATAAATTAAACTTAAAATGTCCCCAGCCATTTAATTATTAATTATAGTCTAAAAAATCCCCACCCCTATGAGAATCAGTGACTATGACCTCTCTCAACTTGGACCCAGCCTTATTTACAGATACCTCTTCTTCTCTCTCATTTGCCTGCCCAGTCATACTAGATTATTCTGCTCCTTAAACCCACAGTACAACGTCTCTTTCTCCTTTAACTGCCTTTACGTTGTTTGCTCAGTCAGGAATGTCCTCTGTTACTAACATGCTCCTTCCTTATGCCTAAGCCCCTAAGTCTAAGCCGAATTAACTGCTCCCACATCTGTTACAATAGCTCGTATCAGATTCTATATTCATCTGTCTCTTGCCAGACTGAGCTTCTTGAGGGCAGGAACTATATAATGCAATATGCCTAAAGTTATAGTACACAAGTATTTAGACTTAAATAAAAGCTAACAAAGTAGGCTGACTTGTGGTCTGGAGACCCAGATTCTAGTGACCACCAGCCCTAAGCTCTAAGCCCTACATTCTTTTTAGAGCTTACTTAGTGTACTGACTAAGATCATGGACCTTGGAGTCAGAAAGATCCTGGTTTGAATCTGAAGTCTGTCATTTACTAGCTTTATGAATTTGAGCTATTTACTTTGATCTGTAATATAGGCAATCCCTCCTACCTCTCAGGTCTGTTATGAGGATATGGTGAAAAGATAAACAAAAGCCTTTAGCATACTGCCCATGACAGAGTAAGCACTCAATAAATGGTGCCATTTATTTCATCTGTAAGACATTAAAATAGAATTTAGCAAGCTATAAAAAAATGGAAAGTGCAGCAGACTCTACAGTAAGAAGGATGAAAAATAAATGACTAGAGAATCAGGAACTTGAATATCAATCTGAGAAACAGAAATCTGATTAGGAATGTAATTGGGATAACTTAGAACTTAGTAAAGGAGTGACCTAAAGAAAACAGCATTTAAAGAAACTAATTCTAAGTGTAATTCAGTACAGGATGTCTGGGAAGTAGATATTTAAGTTAAGGAGAGATTCACAATCCACACGTGACATGAAAAGATCTAGGGTTGAAGTGTGCTAATAAAGGATGAATTAAAACTGTGAAGTAAGAAAACAATAGGCACAACTACAAGGGATAAAGATCATTGTCATAAGACTGAAACTTGAAGAGGGAGCTTACTGTTAAAAAAAAAAATGAAGTTCAGTGGGGGAGACTATTTAACTCCCCATTTATAGGTTAATATTATGCTCAAGGTCGCAGAACTAGTAAATAACTGAACCAGAACTTGAACTCAGGTGTTCAGACTCCAAAGCTTGTGTTAACCACTTCAGTTACTACCTTTCAAAAGTAATGGAAACAAGTTTCCAGACAATGTTACAGGGAAAAAAATCAGAAAAGGCTTTAAGTCAACAGTTTCTATTTCTAGTGCATTATTGGCCTAATTTCTATGGCCTCATCCCTCTTCTTTCTCAGTAGCAGAATCTTTGAAAAATTTTTTAACCTGGGATTCGTGGATGGGCTTTTAAGACCCATTTATGCAGGATTCATGTTTGTGTGTCTATTTCTCTGAGGAGATAGGCTGTGTTGCCTTCTATCAAATTCACAAAGGGATCCTTGACCCATAAAGACCTCTACCCTAGAGAGAATAGCAGCTATCATTTATTAACCTCTTACACTTGCTGGGCACTGCTCTTAAGTGCTTTACATGCATTGCCACAATGAGTCCTCACAAGACCTCTAAGAGGTAGGAATGGTAATCTCCATTTACAGACAAGGAAACTGCAGCACAAAAATGGGCTTACAGTCACTCAGCCAGCAGGTGGCAGAGCTAGAATGTAAATCCAGACAATTTGGTGCCTTAGCTCAAACTTCTAACCAGTTATACTGTGGGGGGAACATATTGGTATCTTCAGAACTATTTCCTTTAGCCATAACAGTGTTAAAAAAAAAAGTTTTTTTAAATGCTTTTAGGAAGAGCATTTAGGAATAGCACAATCCCCAGTGTTTTACACTTTCTTACTTTACACCTCTACCATCACCTGCCAAACTACTCCTTTTGGCATGGAGCATTTCTATTAGAGAGGGCCTAACTGAATCTCACTTTAAATTTTTTCCTCTTCAAGTCTTTGAAAGCTCCCATGTTAACTGTATCTTCTCAAGGGGGTTGTAGTTCTCTCTCATAAACATTATCCTTTTAGTCACTAGTGTATTTTAGCTCAAATGAATAAAAGACTAGTAATGATTAAAATGAACCTCATGACAAATCATAGGAAAAGTCCTGTCAATATTTTCAACAGGGAAAATGGAAAAGGTGCGAAAGGCAGATTTCTGCTGGAGTGCTTCTTGATTTATGGACCTCTGCTTTATTCAGTTTACTAAATAAGAGCTGATGAAATGATTGCCCCTGCCAAAGTCACAGAAACACACTACCTATCTGAAAGAACAATTCCACTAGTTAGTTACAAAATTTAATTGTAAGGATCAAGCAGTGGTTATTGGTCAACCCAATCCACATTAATAGCTTTGAAGTGTGTGATGCTATTTTTTAAATAAAGGTGACAAATATTGATCAGATTCTTCTAATACTGTTCAGGATCTAAATAGACATGATTCTGGACATAGTTCAATACACAAGGCCAAGACAATGACAGTGCAATCATCAATAATAAAACCAAAGGTGTAATTTTCCAAATCACTTTTAGTTAAACAGAATAAATTCTAGCTTTTTAAAAATCTACATAAATCTCAAAGCAATCTAACCATTTTTCTACCTGAGATCAAAATAAGTTTCTTTTTTCCTATCTACACATAATTCTTGGTATTGAGGTAAATCTGAATTCACGTGATATACTTTGTCAAACTTTTCCAAAAATTTTTAAGCCCTGCTTTAGAGAGAAATTCTCATGTTACACATACATATTTACATAGTTTTTCTTCAAAGACTAACAAGAAATTTATGAGGTTAATAGGCCTGTAATGGGACCATGATACTACTACTAACATGAAAATAAAAACCATTCATTTATACACAGTATTCCTGTATGGTGCAATACGAAATGGGATCATAGAATCTATGTACATATATGAATCACCACCAAGAATTCAGAAATTAAGCTCAGTTTAAGAAAACTCATTCTATTCTTTTTTGGAGCAGAGGTTGCAAAGTTGTGACGTATAACAAAAATGTTGTGTTTAAAAGCTCCAAAACCGAATATTAGCCTAAATTGACAATAACTGCAACTTAAATTAAAAACTAAATCCAACTAGATCTTTACTGTGGCTATGCGACTTTGTTTCGTGGCCTGCAGGTTTTACTGAGGTAACAACCTCTTATCTCTGGCCTCTCCTTCTTGCACTCCCCCACCCTTGCCCCCAGCTTCCCTTTTCATGGCTGTCTTTGGCAATGCTTCCAAGTCTTGAAAGCAAAGGAACTTGCTAAAGTAAATGAGGAAGATGAAAAACAGCATTATCTGTGATGTATGAAAACCAATCTAAGAGTATGAACTGAGAAAGAAAATACTAGAAGGAAGGCTGAGCAGCAGTCTACCCTCAAGGGAAAAAGAAAATGTAAAAATAGGGGGCCTGTTACTCCTTGCCCTTCTTCCACATTATCTCCTGATTAGAAGAGTGTGGAACCAAAATTTTAAACTCTGAAAAGGCAACGACTTTGAAGGAGAAGCTACAGAAGTGAATAAATGATAGAAAAAAAAGTACAGCAGTAGCTTTAGCTGTCAATGAGTTTCTTTGCTCTGGCATTGGCATTGTCAATACGATCTTTGTTGGTGTCAGCCTAAAAAAAAAAAAAAGATATCACCATTACTTCACAAGGTAAGTTGCTCTAATAAAAGCTAAATTTCATACACTTGGAGTAAATCAACACACTGAGAAAATTCAGGAAACAGTTGAAGTCACATTACAAAACTTTTGGGCAAGAACTGACAGAATATCAAATTCATCAGGAAAAACTTGAGAGTATCAATATGATGACATATGTGTAACAGAAGAACTGGCCAGTATTTTGTGAATTCTTAACATTTTTTCATAGTTTAACATGTCTGAAACTGGGATGCATCTTATAGTCAATGGCACTTTAGATGCAAGAAAATCTAGGAATGCTCTTCTCTGCTACAGATCTGGACCTCATGGGAGTTCTCTGAACTGAATCATAGAATCCCATCTGGAGTTACCCTAGGCCTAACCCAGAGAGACTGAAATAACTTCAGAGATACTGAAAAAACCATCCCCAATATCGCTGAAACAGATGTATTACCATCCACATCAACATCTGAATTAAAATGACAGGCAATATGTGGCCTAACCCATACAACAGCATTAAAAGCATCTTATTAACCATCATTTGCCTGAACGAAATCCATTTTAAGTGATTCAACAGAAAGCCAAGCTTAAAAACTCACCCCATCCTTCAAAGTACACTGAAATTTTCATGAGGTAACAATAAGAATGGCTTTTAGATCAGACATATCCGAACACCGAACACAATTTGACTTGCAGTGTCTTATATCATGTGAAGTGAAAAAAACAGCAATCGCACTTTTTCATTACTCACAGGACTCTATTTTGTGTGTCTACTGCACAAGAACCATTCTGCAGAAATGATTTTCACCTACTAACTTATGAGATGAGGACTCAGGAACTTACTAATTGGTTACTAGTTTATAAAACTCCAAAAGCTAACTCGCTCATTCAGGGGGAAAAAAAGGGAAGTCCACACACAGGTTAGAGGAGATTCTAAACTTCGTGTACGAAATTTTAAATAAAATTACTTCATTCCAATGTCTTGGTTTCAAAATGAACCAGCTGCCATGAGCAAGAGATAGGAGGACTAGGCTATTGTTTCTCAGTGTGTTAGAACTGTCGCCTCATCAAAACTATAAGACCTGTGAAGACAGGATCTTATCCTATTGTTCTCCTCCAAAGTATCTAGCACAGATGTCTATTACTAAAACACTGTACTGGATGTCTCATTTTCCTGTGGCACTAAGAAGCTTTTACCTTTTCTGTGATCCGGCCTATCTGTCGATTTTGAGCCTCAATCTCGTTGCCCATGTCCAGGGCCATGTTTTTTAGGTTTCCCAGTATACTGCCCACTTGAGTCAGGTTCTCTTCCATTTCATCTTCTCTGGCATCATTAGTTATACTATCACAAAAAGATAGTACTTTTTGGTGAATTATACAAACGGACTAAGTCTGGATTTAGTTTTCATAAAAACAAGTAGCCAAAATGACTCTCAGCAAGCATAAGACCCAAGGGAGTGCGGGTTACCATTCTAGGAAAACATTCTATAGAAACAATTGAAAGACTGATCAAAGAGAGCACCATGTCTAAAAGCCGTGTAAGAGAAGATTAAGAAACAACTCTAGAACCAGTGGTTCTCAAAGTGTGATTCCCACCATCACCTGGGCACTTGTTAGACATGAAAACATGCTGATTCTCACACTCCACTCCAGATCTACTGAATCCGAGTCTGAAAACAGATTCAAGCAATCTGTGTTTTAATAAGCCTCCCAGGTGATTCTGATGCATGCTTAAGTTTAAAGAACCCTGCTCTAAAACAGAAGTTGCCAGGCCAGCCCAGTGGCCTAGTGGTTAAGTTTGGCACACTCCACTTTGGTGGCCTGGGTTTGGTTCCCAGGCGTGGACCTACACCACTGTCTGTCAGTGGCCATGCTGTGATGGTGGCTCATATACAAAATAGAGGAAGACTGCCAACAGATGTTAGCTCAGGGCGAATCTTCCTCACCAAAAAAAAAATTAAATATGAATAAATAAATAAAATAAAACAGAGGGTGCAAAACTCTGGCCCAAAGGCCAAATCTGGCCTGCTACCTGATTCTGTAAGTAAGATTTTAGTCGAACACAGCAATGCTCATTTGTTTACCTATTGTTTATGGCTGCTTTCACCCTACAAGAGCAGAGTTGATTAGCTGTGACAGAGGCTGTGTGGCCTGCAAAATCTGAAACATTTATTATCTGACCCTTTAGATATTCTTATAGGGATCTGGCCAACCCCTGGTCTAGATGATACATTTTAAAACACATTTTCCTATTTACAGAAGTAAAATATGCTTGCTTCAGTAATTTGAAAAGCACTAAAAAATAGAAAGAAAAGTTGATCCATCACTGAAGGTCAACAACCACAGTCAACATTTTGTCAGAAGGCAGATTTTTAAATGCATTTTTAAAATGGAATAAATGTTATTTCTAATTGATGAGTTAGGGTTCACGTATAACTACACCCATCCTCCTGAGTGAGCCATTCATTTAAGAAAGAGGTAAAACTATTGGGAGGAGCTGGCATACCGTTTAATGTATCCACCGCTGGCTGCTCCTGTGGGTGCTTGCTGAGGCTGACCGTTTGTCACTCGGCCTGGCTGCTTAGATACTACGTTGCTAGGAGAGTTGTCTCCGCCATCTCCCCACGTTGCCTTATAGGCCTTACTAGACTCAAAGTTCTTTGTCCTGTATAAGAGTCAGGAGTTCCGGGGAATACCAAGAAGCAGGAGAGAGAGAGAGTTGTAGTTATCAGTGCTTGTTACCTTGAGGATGACCCTAGCACCCTTAGTATAAAAGCTACATACAGTCAGATCTAGACTGTCTATACTATCATCTATCACAATATGGCATAGGAAAAAGACGAACTGTGTAAGCTCACTGACATTAAAATTGTTTTTTTGAGATTAAAATACTTCCACCAAATTTTCACTAAGCAGTTGGCAAGTAGCAAAATGCAATTATTTCATTTTTCAGGTTCCCCTAGCCTCTGACACTATCCAGAAAAGGGGTTAATGGATGCCAGGAAAAAAAATTCCTTAGGAAAGGTGTTCTGGGATGCCTTAAGAGGTTCCTTGGAGACATCTAGAAGTTGATGAAAGCTGGAAGAGTAAGAAGCCTAAGTGGGCGACACTTAGACCCCAGCAGCCCACTTACTTGAACCAGAGTAGTTCTAGCAGATCAGATTTTTAAAGTGAGATTTTGCATTAAATTTTTAAAAAGAGTTTCTTACGAAAAAAACAAACGTCATGAAGGAAAGGCATGAATTATTGAATTATTTCCAAATTGACTAGCCAATGAATAACTACGTTGGCCATACCTCTGCCAGTTACAAATCCTTGGGTTTTTTTATTTAAGAGCTTACTTATTTAAGGGTTTTTCATTTAAGAGCTTACTTTTCCTCCTCTTAAAAAAAAAATCTTAAATCTAGACCTCTTAAAAATAAAAGCACATGCTTTAGATGTAACTGATACAGCCAAAAATCAGCCAAAGACAGAATTTTATCATGGGATTTACTATTCAAATTGATATAAATGGCAAGAAAAAGAGCCTAGTAAAGTGACTTTTAAATAGCTATTACAAAAAACAAAACTTTTTTACTGATTATTTGGCTAGGTACAGTTTTTCTTCATACAATTTTAGTTTTTTTCTATAAATAAAAATAAAGTTAGTGTATGGCTACAATATTGGTCTCTGATTTATTCCACTTAGTATGACAGTGAGGAAGTTTTGAAATTGCAAAAGCAGAGGAGAGATTTTATGAAAACAGTGGCTCCTTCCTAAATATACATGTGAAGACTCATTTTTGGCAAACCAAGAATTGGATCTTAGACCTTAATCATGAATGCCACAGAAATAGTACTACTACTTTTTTGTAGAGGCACGGAAAAGGTAAACCGATCCATGAACACTGAAGAGCTAGTTCTCAAAGTGCCTTTCTTGGCTCCACTTTAAGTTTTCACAATTCAGTTCCTATTTATGCTATTATGTTTTACTCATTAATTAACCTATTTATTAATAAGCTATGTTAAATTATCTCCTGGAACAAGGTGGGATAGATACATTTTTAAAATAAATATTTACATTAATTATCTATTAGTTTGGTGAAACCTATTTACATACTGTATCCTTTGTTAATAAGATAGTTCTCAGGCAAAATTCTAAAGCAGAGGAATTGTTAGTAAACAAAATAAACAACATAGTTTATCAGAAAGTGAACAACTAGAAGTATTAATAGAAGTAATGTAAGATAAGTGGGGCTTTTATCAGGATGTCAGATTGTAGAACAGGTCAAAGAGTGAGGGCTGGAATTCAAAAGTCACTAATTCCTAAAACACCACGTTTCTGAGAGTCTTAGTACATAAAGACAGAGAGGACTTGTGGGCTCTTGGTCTGTCAAGGGATATATACATGCTCCAACCTCCTTCTCAACCTTAAGAGATAATATTTGAAAGTCTTTAAACTTTTGAGAATTCTTCCTTCCACGGTTAGATATAAGGGGTGTAAGATGCAAATGAATTATTTTAACATGATATTGTGAATGAGGTTCAATTAAAGCATAGTCTATAAACAAAGAATCAGACTGGTTACCAAACTCTTCTCCCTTGAAGATGTTCTTTCAATATCAAGGGAAGAAGGTACAAAAAGCTGACTTTGATTTTTTTTTTTACAGTTTTGCATTTGTCATTGTTTACTTTCAAATGGGTTGGGGAAAAAAAAACTACTTTTTTTTCATGCAGTTATGACATGTTCTGCATGTTTATGAAGAAAGTGATTTTTAAATGCTCTTCATTTCCTGTCTTCATCCTCATGATAGTTCCATGTCTCTTTCAGCACCTCCACTGTAGGTAACGCCTTCTGGTTGCTCAAGATCCACTTGCCATTACCCTGGAGCTTCTCCCACCAAATTGGAACATCCTTTAAAGTTGCCTGTTTTTAAGAGCACTGTCAGGCAGCTGCCTATCTAATAAAAATAATACTGATTTTAATCTAATCTAATCTCATCTAACCATAAAGGGTCTTAAAGGTAATAGTTCCAAAACTTAACTGAACACCAGAGTGACCTGGATGTTTTTAAACACACAGATGCACAGGCTACACTCTGAAGATTCTGCTTCAATATGTATGGGGTAGAGCCTGGGCATCTTTTGTTGTTATTACTGTTTTATTTAAATTCAACAGATCATTTAGCTACCCAGCAGGGAAGAGAAACACTGTTCTAAGGGACTTCCAATCTCTTGTAAGAAATATTTTAGATTATTCTGGGGTCTACCTTAGTATTTCTACATACCGAGACACTGAGGAATTAATCTGGAGGAAGCAAAGGTACACACCAGGATTTTTTTCAAAAAAGCCACAAGATTTGTAGTAAATTGACTTGAATCCAAATCCTAGACCTGTCACCCAGTAGCTGTAGAACCTTAAGCAAACTTCCATCTCTCAGCATCCTTCTCCTTATATGTAAAACTAAGATAATAACAATACTTAACACTTCACAGGGCTATCAAAATATTGTTGATAATGGTTGTAAAACTGCTTTGTAAAGCATTAGACAAATATTTTTATTCTTTGGCTTTAACCTCAATCTGATCCTTAGTTAACAGTCCACACCTTTAAGTGTACAGATCACTAATTGGCTCATTAACATTCCCCAGCTTTGAGATCTACAGGTAGCCGAACATAGTTGGAATATGGCTACATAAAAATCAGCTAGGCGCAGGTTGTTTTGGTCCACAGTAAGAAAGAAATGATTCTGATCTGTGACAGAACTCTTTTGCATAATAAAATTTATAGCACCTCTAGGAAGAAATTAGACTTCATGATAAAATGCTTAAGCAAATTAGTGATAGATTTTAATGCAATCAAGAACTCCATTTGGAAAGTTAGATTTACCTCTGTCACTTCTGAGGAGTCAACCGTTTTTTATTTTATTTATGTATTTATTTTTTTGAGGAAGATTAGCCCTGAGCTAACATCTGCTGCCAATCCTCCTCTTTTTGCTGAGGAAGACTGGCCCTGAGCTAACATCCATGCCCATCTTTCTCTACTTTATATGTGGGATGCCTACCACAGCATGGCTTGCCAAGCAGCGCCATGTCCGCACCCAGGATCCAGACCGGCGAACCTGGCTGCCGAAGCAAAACGTGCGAACTTAATTGCTGTGCCACCGGGCCGGCCCCCATGAGGAGTCAATCTTTAACTATCACGTTTTTTTCCCCATATAAATATCATTCAAAAATAGCAAGTTTGAAATAAGAGTTGAAATATCCCTAAATCAATTTAAGAAGCTGCTGTAAAAGCAGAAAACAAGAAGTATCAGGACATGAACAGAATAACTTTAACAACTTCTTTTCCTAGTTTTGGTTGTCAATATTAGTCCTAACTGAGTAAGAACAGCAAAAACAAAGCCCAGTATTAGCTATAATTCTTTCATATCAAGGAGAAATGGGATCACATAAATACCAATTATAATGAGTAAGTGCGTGTGTATGTGTGTGTTTATCAGGCTATGGGAAAGAAGAAAAAGGAGGGCAAGACACAAAAGGTAGAAATCAAACACTTAATTTGCTAACATTTAACCATGGTCTCTTCATGGTTTCCATAAGATCCAAAATTAGGAGTCAAATATGATAAACAGCAGGCTGACTAAAGGGTTAAATTTTATAAAAAATTAAGATTAGTTAGCTCCGTATTAATTCAACATGAAACCATAGCAAGCTAACACATGACATCATAGGACTTATGGAACAGATTATAATATATATAATGAGGGAAAACCCTTATTTTAAAAAAAAAGAAGGCATTAGATATGGTAACATTTTAAATTTATATCCCACCTTGTTCCAAATGGCATTTAAGATGACTAGATAGGCAATTAATTCCTCAATTTGGTAGTGGCCTAAATCCTGAAAACTGGAAGGGAGCAAGGAAATTTAATAGAAGATAGGATACTGAAATCAAAGCCCTATGGAGAGAGCTGGATTTAGCCTGAATTCCATTACCTTTGAACAGAATTAGAATTCAGCAATTCTCTACAAAGATCAACCTATTTAAAAGTTCTTAGGAAACTTTAGCAGTGTTTTTATTTTTATAATCTTAGATGTTATTTAGCAAAAACTTATTTATCAGAGTCTTTAGTAAAAGGGTGGTATTATAAATTGAGATTCCTTTGTCAAGTCCATCTTGTGGCAGACAGCACCCATACAAGAATAAATTCACTTCACATTACACACCACAGCACAGTTTTTAAGACAGTCTTCACCACTCACAAATCCATGCACATGCAAAGAAAAGCCATTTGAAGCATCACCTTTAGATAGCAGGTTAACAGCCCAAACTGCGCCAACAAGACTGCATCTTAAAGTTCCCTTTGATCAGTTACTGAGCCCGGCTTCTGATGTTAAATCTTCATTTTTAGTAAGCAGATTAGAAAGGAAGAGATTAGGCGAGAGAATGAAATGCAGAAAATAGTGAATGCCAGTCAAACAGAACAGAAGCAGGTTTAGAGTTTTCAAAACATAACACAATTAAATTCCTGCCTGGTTTCATAGAAACAACCAACATCTGAGAATCTAGACAAAAAGAAAAACAAGAAGACTAATTAAACCAGAGCACACTTCATTTTTCCTAAGAATGTCTGTGTGATGATTTTCTTTCCTAAAACCATGAAAATTAATACGAAGGGAAGGCAAATACTAACGGAGGGGTTGTTAAATTTCCTCACTCTTTCCTTGGTGATTACAGATTTCTCTTAATTACTTCTATTTTAGTTTTTATTTACGTTTTAATTTTTAAAAATCCTTTTACATGTCTAACTCTCCCATCAGCCAACAAGTTTCTAAAGGACATTTAATCAACAACTGTTTATTAAGCACCTACTATGTATCAGGTATCACGTGAGGCAAAAAAAATAATGACAAATAAAACAGCGCAGAGCTATGCCTTCCTCGTCTTTGTATCTCCAGTGACTGGGATGGAGGGAGCACTCAACTGTTGAATAAAATATAACTCAGTATTTATTTTAACTAATCAGAGCTGAATATTTACACCTCAATATGACATAAGAGTGGAATAGTATAAAACCTGTGACACCAATTTTGAACTTCTCCAGTATAAGTGGTCCAGAAATGACAATTTGTCTTCAAACTATGTGCCATTAGGTTTGACATTATAAACACAGACTGAAGAGAGAAGACCCTGTCTGAGCATGGTTAAACTGGGACACTGGGCAGTTTACTAGTCTGAGACTTCCCATTTTAAGTCAAATGACAAGTTATAAAGTTCCTGACAAAGACAGGATTTTTAATAAGGATCTGTACTATTTTGCCTTTAGGAATCAAATAGCAGCAAGCTAACAATGACATTTATTCACAATTTTTAAGTTTAATCCTGGTAGTCTGTTTTTAAATTCTAGTAGTCCTTTAAAAAGAATTAGCTAAAGTTAAAATTCCCTTCTAATATAGGGTACCATTAAGTAAAGGTATTTCCATGCCTTATTAAAAACAGATTTGCTGACCTGGCTTCAGTGAAGACTACTGAACAAAAGAAATCTCAAAGAACAAATCTACTCAAGAAATTTTCTATACAGCAACACATCTAACTACAGCAACAAAAAGATTCATTCTTTTCTTGCCAAAGTCAAGCAATGTAGCATATAGTGAAAAGCTAGGGCTCTGCCTGGTTTTGAATCTCAGCTCTTCCACTTGCTAGTGTAGCCTCTTTGTGCCTCTATTTCCCCATGTGTAAAATGGTGATAATAAGAGACTCTCTCTCATAATAAGGGTATTGTTAGGATTAAATTTAAAGTGCTCAGAATAGTAAGAGCCTAAATTAATATACAGGCCCATAACTCTTATCCAAATCTTTGGATCCAAGACATTTTGAGCTGTACCACATAATCAGATACATCAACATTTCTGCAGTGAAACAAATTAACATTTACACTAAGTGTGATAAAGATTATAAATAGCTTCAGTTCAGTTTACATTTTGCACCCTAATTAACGAATTGTGGCACCACATTATGGAAAAAACCAAGCAACCAACCTTGCTTTTCAGAGGTTTTTAGATTTCTGAATGGCAGATAAGAGACTGTGGACCTGAGTTGTTATTACTACTACCAGAATTAGCACTAGCCTTATATGAAAGACTGAGATCCTGTGTCTGCCTTTGAGAAGCTCATGTTATGGCTATTTATATGATAAGCCTAACTGAAACACAGATTAGCAGATAAGATTAGAAAGATTAAGACACTGGCAGGAATGGTACCAGACAGAGCTGAGAACAAGAGATACCATAGAGGCCAAGGATTCAATGATATAAAGAAGAGATAGGCAGAAGGAAGGCAATTAAATCAGATATCTTTAAACTGGAATATTACTCTCTTCTCTTCAGGGAACAACTGTTCTGTTATTAGAGTCCCTTGATTCCATCTGTTAAGAAGTGCCTTCTCCTCTTGACCCTTTGAGAAACAGTTCTGCTGAGGTTAGAGGCTGAAGGCTGATTCAGGACCATACTCAACCTTCACTCTTACTAGTATCCAAGAAAATCTTGCCTATGCTTGGCTGAGATACACAAAAAGAAATAAAATTAATACTTCTGTAGCTCTATTTCCCACTTTCTATGCTATTAGATCACCTTCCTGTTGATAAACCCGACTCAGAGCTTATTTTGCTCTAGGTTCTAGGTAGGACTTCCTCCTCCTTGATCTTTTCCTGATTTCTAATCTCAAGGAAATGCATTTACTTTTTCTCCTTTGCACTCTTCCAAGAGGGTACACAAACCCAGGAGAAAAGCAAACGGAAGTTTGCAAAACATAGTTAAGAGTTTGGATTAAAAAATCTGTGCATTTCTAACTTGTTTGCTCAAAGCAATCTCCTAAAACTTGATTGAACAAGTCACAGTTACTAAAATATGCACTTTTGGAGAGTCAACCAAGGTCTAAACAGGTCAACAGACTTGTCTTAGAACAGGAAACCAATGAACAAGACTAGGAAGAACACTGTCGAATCTTCTTTTGCTCAAAACAAACACTAAAGTTGATGAATAAGCAAGTAACTCTATTTTCTCTAGCAGAAATGGCACAGAGAATGTTGTCACATGAAAACACTTATCTGAAAGTATGACAATATAACAAAAGTTGCTCCATTCCTAACTCCTTTGAGGAGTAAAAATGCTGAGTCTGTAAACCTTTGTATCCCATTCTTGGTTTATCACACCAGCTGAGACAACTGGATCAAAGTACTAATGCTTATGAAGCTCTTTAAAAGTGAATACTCTCAGCAGTAAGGATAGTCATTCAATCTCCAGACATTGTCATTTCAACTAAGGGTAAAGTTCAAAGTTAGTCCAAACCTCATCTTGGTCTGAATATACAATATTTGTCAACACCACGGAGTTTGGTTTACCCAAGAATAAGTAGAGAATTTAAGTATTCATAATGGAGTCACCAAAAAGAATGAATTCCTTTCTGTCAAGAATAATCTCATACACTATACACAAATAGTTTGAAGACTTTTCATCTAGTTTACTAGCAACTTCAAATCTTCAGTCTGTTTTGATTTTTCCTTTTTCATGTTTGATATAAAATCAATGGATTTAAAATGAATTCTCTTTGACTTACTCTCTTCTCTCTAATCTCAATGATAAGGTCTTACCTCACAGGCCTAGATTACAAAAGGTACCTAACTAGTCTATACTCCTATACTCCAATCTGTCAACTCCTTAGTCTGGCATTCAAGTTTCTCTACTGCTTATCTATGTCTTATTTTCTGCTTTTCATCTATGTGAGTCATGCAGCTCAGTTAAGTCAAGCTCCTCTGTAATCTTTGTTTACATGAAATCTTTCACAAGAAATGCCCTCCCAATTCTTCCAGGTCCATCCAAATCCTTCCCATCACTTAGAGCCTAACTTAAGACCTACCTATCTCATAAGATGTTCTCCAAATCAACATTTATCAGACTCCATCAGGTTCTGCACCTTTAGCTTTAGTCAATATCACAAGATGTAGCACTAGATTTACGTATTTTTAACTTTTTGCTATTCTTTCTCATATATCAAACCACATGATAAATTTTTTGAAGACAGGATCCAAGTCCTTTACTCCCTTGGCCGTCTCTCATGTGCCTACCACAGAATATGTATTTTGTCAGTACTCCTTGTTTGAAAGGAAAGGCACTAACTCCATCCTGCTCTGTATTATCCAGATGTATACTTTCCAACCTTTTCACGTATTATTAAAAGATGAATTGGGACTTGATCCAAGGATTGATCAAATTTAAGCCATGATTTTCAGTGAATATGCCTATTTACATGAAAAGCCTGATCTGCCTAAAGGAGAAATAGCTTAAATTTATCTAACAAAGTTCCTTATTTAGGCCCAGTCACAGTTCTGACCTTACTGGGCGGCAAAGAGGGGGAATCCTCTCACTTTAAATTTATTTTAAAAAGGTCTTAATTTATCAACTCACCTATTACATGGGCAGACACAAAGGCCACAGCACTTGTTGAGTTCTGTTAAAGTCTTCTCTGTCTCTCTCATGTCTTTATTTATTTGGTCCATGCTTTCTTCTATTCGGTTTAGTTGTTCTAAGAATAAGTTGTGGAAGTTACATTTTGTGTTGCATTCAGAGTGCCAACCAGAAAACATCATTATTATGGAGAAGCAAACTTCAACCTCAAATCCAGTAATCCATCATAGGGACTGTATCAGTGCCAGAAAGTATCACATACTGTCCAACATAAAAACAATCTTTTACATCCTGATCCTGAGGTACCTGGTCTCTTACTGTGGAAAGATTTTTTCTAAGGAATTTGTATAATAGGAGGATGTGAGGGCTTGTTTAGAGAGTACCCTTCCAACCAAATTAAGTGTACTTACACCAGATCAGATCTCTAGCATTCCTATCACTGAATAGGCTCAAAACTTGAGGGCTGTCATCAGACTAAGAAAAACTAGACCAGATTGCTCAGGGCCAACTCAAATAGAATGTTTCCAAGCTCACCTGAATCTTGACCTGTTTATGGATTTAACTTGATTTCTGAAAATGACGCATGAATACCATAATGTCTAATGTACATATGACCAATGCACAGAGTAAGTTCTGCTACCTAACAAATTCTTGGTATATAATTGGGCATTATTTCCCCCACCTCAAACAGGTAATGAACATGATATAATTCAAATCAGAAGAAAAGAAATAAACATATCACTCATCTTACAAATGGAAGTCACTCCCAAAGGCTTAATTTTATACATGGCTGATCTGAAAGAGCTTTCTGGCAACGTAAGTCAAATCAAGAGTTTCTGACAATGACTGCAACTCACCCCCTTGTTCATCCAGCATAGTGATAGTCTTGATTCCTGCATCCTGGGACTAAAAGAAGGACAAATGGCTGATGGCACAACAAAACAAAACAAAACCGAAAGAAACAAAACCTACAAGCCTTGACAAACAGCAAGAGAGACTCATAAAGAAACCTAAGCTCTCAGAGGATTAGAGCTACAGGGAAAATTAATATCCCCAAACCAACATACCTTATAACCCCCTCGCCCCCAAACAATTAAGTAACAAACTCATGGTGAAGTGATCTTCCATGTCATATTCCAATATTGTCAATAGGAAAAACAAAAAGGCCTGTTAGTGCACAGTTTTACAATTTCAGCAATTGCTGGTTTCAAATAATAAAGCTTATTGATACCATACCCTTCTGATACTTAACACCAATTCTACTTGTGCTATCAGGATCCTTCCTATACAGTTTCTTTTCTTTTTTTTTCTTTTGTGAGGAAGATTAGCCTTGAGCTAACATCTGTGCCAGTCTTCCTCTACTTTGTATGTGGGATGCCTCCACAGCATGGCTGATGAGTGGAGTAGGTCTGCACCCAGGATCCAAACCCACGAGCCCTGGGCCGCTGAAGTGAGCACATGGAACTTTAACTGCTCAGCCATGGGGCCGGCCCCTCCTATACAGTTTCTATACTTAACTTGATGATTAAACACTTTCTTACCTCAATGGCTAAACCCAGGATTCTCCTTGTACTTTCCAGAGACTAGGGGGAAAAAAAAGTGTCATCACATTCTATATTCATGATGATTGCCAGCCCACCCATCCCTCCCTTTAAGACAAAAAAATAGAAAGTTGATCACTATAATTATTTTTCTCCTTACCAGGTGCTCCTTAAGAGAAAATTTGATAGGTGAAGTTAATGGGATTTATAAAAACTTAATGTAAGCACAAATCTAGGTATATTAACAGATGTTCAAAACTTCTGTTAAAATTAAATGTCCAGAATTCCTCAAATCTAGGGTATCTTTGTTGTAAGTAACTGTTAAGTAAGGACTATCTAAAAAAAAAAATCATACAAATTATTTTCCTTTTTCAGTCTTTTGGTGAGTTGAAAAAATAAGGAGCTAGTAACGGCACTCTAAGGCAAATGCATTCTTTGATATAAAGGGACTAGGAAGAGGTCAAAATGGTCTTCTCAGAAGGTCCTCTCCTCTCTCCACTGTGAAAACTGAAAAAGAATTAATTACTTATTCCAAGTGAAATGTTTACCTCATCAGTAACCTGGTGAGCCCTCAGTTGAATTTCTTCTGATGACAGATTATCCATGATGAATTAAAACTCTTGAAAGGCACAGAAACTGAAATGCGGATATTCTGTAAGAATAAGGATACAAAAAACAAGTTTGTTTGAGCAAAGAGTGTGGAGTCAGGATACTTATCTGGAAAACAGGACAAAAAAGCCTATATCTACCTACCTACCTCATCGGTGAAGAAATTAAGGCTGAGAGAGGGTAAATGGATCCTTAAATGGTAGTTAGTACCAGAGGTGAACCTCAAACTCAGGTTTCAGAACTTCTAGTGAAGAGCTGTTTCTAGTAAGAAAGTGGTCCCTCTACTTTGAGACGGAAGGCAGTACTAGAAGATAAGCTTTAAGAGACTATGGAAATGACTTCTTGGTCGTACAATGTTCTTCACATATTGTTTGAATATGGAAAGAAATGAGATGACGAAGCCTAAGATAGTGCTCCATCACTAAAGTAAGAAAATTCAAAGTCATGCGCCTGAAGAACACAGGAAACATTCTAAAAATGTGCCAGCTGTCCAGGCTACGCGTTGGAGAAAACGAAATATCTTCATCTTAACAACAAAATGGTAATGTTGATACAAAGAGCACAGAAAAGATTTTTTATTAATAGCAGACTCTCCCTTTCCAATTACTGCATCATTTGTTCTTTTAGTGAAGTCCCTAAGAAAGTGAACAATTATTCTCCTACACATAGTAACTTACCAACTCATAGTAACTCAGAAAGAGATCTCACAGACATTCAAACTAAAACATAAACATTTAGTAGGTGTTATTTGGTCCTAATGTCATGTATTCCTCTTTAACATGTCATGTGAAATAACAAGCAGATCTAGGGTGTTTTCTTTTCATTACATTTGCCAGCTTTGTATTAAATTTTTGAAAACTAATTTTACCAAAGCTCTTTGTCAGTGACACAAAGTCTGGTTCACATTCTGTATTTCTTCCCAGGGGACATCTGGCAATGCCTGGAGACATTTTTTGATTGCCACAAGCTGCCACTACCGTGTTACTGGCATACAGTTGGTAAAGTCCAGGGATGCTGCTATACATTCTATAACGCTCCTTAGGACAGCATCCCACAACAAAGAATTACCTGGCCCAAAATGTCAAAGTACTGAGGATGAGAAATCCTGCCATGGAGTACACTCACTGCCAAGCAGGGAATTTAGTTAACTGGGAATGTACTAGACTGAACTCATGGAGGGCACGGATTTTATTGTATCTTTGGATTTCTAACATCTAACAGGATCTGACCATTGGTACTCCAGCAAATGTGTGCTGAATGAACCAACCAGTAGGAAAACAAGGAGTACTCTCAAAGTATTTAAGAGAATCTTAGAAACAAAGCTACATGTAATAGTAGCACAAAGCCTGTAAACAACCACTAGAACCACAACCAAAAACTGCCATTACATGCGTATGACCTGTGGCCTGCTGGTCACACATAAATCTTTTTATTCACGTTCCTAGCTAATACTTTTAGTGGAAACATTTTTTTAATTTTTTAAAGATTGGCACCTGAGCTAACATTTGTTGCCAATCTTTTTTTTTTCTTCTTCTCCTCCCCAAAGCCCCCCGGAACATAGTTGTATATTCTAGTTGTAGCTCCTTTCTGGTTGTGCTATGTGGGATGCTGCCTCAGCATGGCTTGAGGAGAGGCGCTAGGTCCAGACCCAGGATCCGAACCAGCGAAACCCTGGGCCGCCAAAGCAGAGCATGTGAACTTAACCACTCAGCCATGGGACCGGCCCCAGTAGAAACATCTTTTTTGTTTTGTTCTGTTTTGTTTTTGAGGAAGATTAGCCCAGAGCTGACATCTGCTGCCAATCCTCCTCTTTTTGCTGAGGAAGACTGGCCCTGAGCTAACATCTGTGCCCATCTTCCTCTACTTTATATGTGGGACACCTGCCACAGCATGACTTGACAAGTGGTGTGCAGGTCCACACCCGGGATCTGAATCAGTGAACCCTGGGCTGCCAAAGCAGAACGTGTGCACTTAACTGCTGCACCACCGGGCCCGCCCCTAGAAACATCTTTGATGAAACAAAAAGCAAAAATATTACATTCCCAGTAGAGGAAGGCATTACACTTAGAGCCTTGTTTATAATTCTATTGTCATAGCTAACCATTTTAAGATTTAACTAATATCTTGAGCCTTGATTACAGCCATTAATGCTCATGAAAAAATATGGTTATAACTAATAGAAATTATTATTGCTGCAAAAAGTTACAAACTTAATTTCATATCTTGCTTGCCATAGTAGGACTGTGGCTCTGGCACAAGTTTCACATATTAAGATATATAATCAAGATATAAAAGCCTTTCTTGAATTAAGAACTGACTGATCATTAGATATAAACATAAACAGAACCACATACTTTTTATTATTTTGCTAATTGTTTATGAGCCTTTAGCTTTATCACATATACGTTCATGTTACAATTTCTCTTTTGGCAATCTTTCAGAGTTACAATTATGAAAAGAAAAGGAATTTGTTTTTGTACCCTCTCACCCAGATTTCTGTATACCTTTCCTTTCCATAATCCCCCATCTACCTGCCCAGGCAGCCTTGTGCTTCTCCATCACTTCCTAGAGCCCCAACAAGATACCTTTCAAAGCCTGCCCTTCCCAGGCAGTATGCTCCAAAGTTATCTATCCCTCTCAGGTGAAACTCCTCAATACCCAGCAGAACAGAATGCGATAAAAAAGTGATATACACTAATCAATTAGTGCCTGGAAATGACACCCCTACTCAGGTTCTCCAATACAGTGTCCTTTGGGTAGGAAGACATTTTGGGAGTAAGGAAGCCCAGACCTCTCAAATTGCATAATTCTGCAATTCTCCTCCTGGAGGTGATTCTTGCCAATTACAAGTCAATATCTGCTCTCTTCCTAGTGAAAATGAGAAAAACTCCATGCAGGTTCAAAGAGAGGCTTGAATGCAAAATTGACCTCTGTCAAACTTGAAGTTCTGCCTTCTGATTATCAAAAAAAGCAGATGTAGTTGGGAGGCGGATGTGAAGTCACTCTTGGCATGGCAATGGGGTAATTTTGAAGGACACACCCTTTCAGTGAACTCAAAGTGCTGCCTAGTACTTTTTTTCCTTCCCTGAGCAGACGACATAAAACAAGAAACAGACTTCTGTAAAGTTCTCACATGTTTGGAATACTGACATTAGGACATGGATGCCTAAGACTTCTCTATTTGGACTCTTGAGGGTGTTGAACAGATGATTATAGTAAATGGGAGTAAGAGACAAAGCAGCATTGTAAAGGGAAAGACAAAGAGAGACAAGGAATAACACTTCCCAGGCTCTTATTAGCCTTTACTAAACTGTTCAGAACTGTCAGACAGGGTGCACCTAGAATTAGCCATGTAGCTTTATTCATATTTATTATCTACAGAATTTTTCTCATGGAGTCAGGAAAAGGCTATACAGAATGCTGGAGTGAAGAGAATCAGGGAAGGGGAAGGGGAAGGAAAACAAAACATCACTTGACACAAAGATCCCATTAAACTTACTTTTCTTAGATATCATCTAATAGATTAAATATCTGTGTCATTTTCCCAACGCTCCTGGGAACTTAATATATATGCTAATTGTGTGTTTTTGAGAGAAAAATGCAAGATTTTTCTCAGTACTTTTACACCCTATTTCCCTTACCATAGTTCATCTGGGCTTACTAACAGACTCCTAATCTAACTTTCTTAATTTCTTTTCTATTATAAACCTTGGGGGGAGCAGGGAGGAAGAAATGTTCATTGAGTACCTACTATGTGTCATATACCCTACTAGGTATTTATATATCATTATCTCGGTTATACCATTTTATAGATAGGGAAACTACGGTTCAGTTTAAGTAAGCAATTTGGCCAAGATGATCCAGTCAGTAAAGAGCAGATTTATTATTCAAGTCTGGATGTATTGTGAAAGCAAGGATAGCTCACTGTCTGTTAAATAGTCTTACTGTTGGATGCATCTCCTTTTAATAAATACAGATCTTCCTTGATTTACGATGGGGTTACATCCCAATAAACCCATCATAAGTTGAAAATATCATTAAGTCAGAAATGCATTTAATATACCTAACCTACTGAACGTCATAGCTAGCCTACCTTAAGTGTGCTCAGAACACTTACATTAGCCTACAGTTGGGCAAAATCATCTAAGACAAAGCCTCTTTTATAATAAACTGTTGAATATCTCATGTAGTTTATTGACTACTGTACTTAAAGTGAAAGCAGAATGGTTGTATGGGGACAGAATGGCTGTAAATGTATCAGTTGTTTATCCTCGTGATCACGCGGCTGACTGGGAGCTGTGGCTCACAGCCACTGCGCAGCATCATGACAGAGTAAAGTTCACATATCGCTAGCCTGGGAAAAGGTCAAATTTCAAAATTCAAAGTATGGTTTCTACTGAAGGCATATCACTTTTGCACCACTGTAAAGTTGAAAAATCATAAATCAAATCTTCGTAAGCCAGGGACCGGCTGTGTAAAAGATGATATGACAACTGCTGTGAATATCAGAAAATAGGCTAAGCACCCTACCTGATGGCTCATTTAAAAATCTCAGATGCCTTCTATAATAAACCATGAAATTTTATCTCTTCCACAGACTCAAAGACAGTTAAATCAAAGGAAGAACTAGAAACACCAAAGTAAGCATGGTTTTCAGTTGTTTCGTAATAATTTGGAACCTGAAAATATCTACATTAATATAGAAAATTATATATGAATACAAAGAAAAAAGGCCTTAGGAATACAAAGAAAAAAGGACTTAGAACTTAATGAACAGGAGATCCATACGTCTTCGTTGATAATAATGAAGAGATACGCAGGAAGCAATGGAAGAAAATAGCAGTTGAAATCATCATCAATTCCCAGTATCCTGCCAAGAGCAATAAGATGATTTTATAGGGGCCGGCCCCACGGCCGAGTGGTTAAGTTTGCGTGTTTCGCTTCGGTGGCCCAGGGTTTCGCTGGTTTGGATCCTGGGTGCAGACATGGCACCGCTCATTAGGCCATGCTTTGGCGGTGTCCCACATGCCACAACTAGAAGGA